ATGTTTTCATGGGAATATTGAAATGACAGGACACCTGTGACAGCAATCTCAGAAAGAGTGCTTTATTACAACATTGTCATCAGAGTAGTGGGACTTACATTCTTGGACTTAACATAAGCTCATTTTAAATATCAGGCAGAGCAAATTTGCACATATGTAGATTTCAGGTAATCCAGAGTTCTTCAATTCATGTTTATTACTAAAACTGACATGGCATCCTTATTTCTCACATTTTAAAAAATGCAATTACATAATTATGAAATGATTTGCAGTAGACGGTTGCCTGGATACTTTTCCCCAGAGGTAGAAGTGCTGGTATCACAAATTAGGAATTTCAAGTTTTAGCAAGACCTACTAAAAATGATTGGTAGCATAGAAGAAAGAGCCTAGGCTAGGGAGTCAGAGGACTTGCATTCAAACATTGCCTAGGTGACATTGTCATTTAACCTCTTGGGGCCTCAGTTTCCAAAACTTTAAGTGAGTAGGTTGGAATAGATAGCTTCTGTAGTCCTTTTTTACCTCTAGATCTATGATCCTATGTTCAATTACTCTTTGTACCTCTGAGACAATCACTTGCCAGTCAATCTAACAAGTGTTGAATTCTTACTATATGTGCACTATTTTAGGCACCATTGGATAAAAGTGTTTCAAGAGAATCACTTCAAATTTCCCAAGGTCTCCTTCAACTCACTAATATAGACCTTTCAGTAGGAAAATAGTCTCCACATATTCATAGATCCAGTACAACTCTTATGTAGCTCTGTGCTGTGTTAGGCAGCTTTCAAGTTTGGACTCTACACACACACACACCCCTCAAAGTTCTAAAAGCTCCATCACAGGGAAAAAGATAAATTGCTCTCTTGGCAATGAGATGATTACTTTTTGTTTTTTGTTTTACTTATGTTTTACTTATGTTTTCCTTTTCTCTTAATCTTGTGTGAAGGAGAGAGTGAAGAGCAAAGCTAAGAATTATGTTTCTGTTTCAGATTTCTCGCATGAAATCAAGGAAGCTATTTTTTGAATGGCGCATTTGCAAGCTGCTTTCTCACCCAACATCCTTTTATTTGCATAGCTATTCATGACAGAATGCACTGAAAATGAAAATAACACAGAGTAAAAAGCCCATTATGGGCAAGGTAAAAAAATAAATCTTAAAAACAGTCTGGTATCAACAATAATTGCTTAAAAGTAAGAAATTCTTTCATTAGACAATATTTACTGTCTCTATACTATTGACTCTTGACATCATTGTTTTCAGTTGGGTCTAACCCAAACTCTGTAAGTTATAAACTTAGTTTGTGAACCATAAAAATCAGTTTGTAGAATATTTCTGCTAAGGAAATAATGGAATAAGTTATGAGCCCTTCTTCTCCCTCCCGTTATCTGGTTGTCTGGATAAATGTCCTCTTATAGTGTTTCTTCATTTTCTTTAAATTTGTTTGAAGCTACTTATCTACATTAATAGAGGGCATTTCCTCACCAAGAGTTCTGCATTATTGAAATTGCAGGACCTTCCCCATCTTTGTTAGAGGAATTATTGAAATAGGTTATCTAGAAGCACTTTTCAATGTTCCTTTAATCTCACAATTCTTGTAAAGGTGTAAGATTCAAGCTAGGGAGGAAGTCAACTTTGGGTTCCATGGTGATTTGTCTATAGTGGGTGCTCAATACTTATGTATCAAATGAATGCATTAATATAGTCAGGCTAGGAAAAAGGCAAACTCTGTACTGCTGTGCATGTAGGTATAGTGCAAATAAACCTGAACTTAATCTGAAAGTCTGTTTTCTACTCCTACTTGTCTATTTACCAAGTGTATGACTTTGGGCAAATTCTTTTACCCCTTTAGTCCTCAGTTTGCTTATCTGTAAGCTAAAGGGAACTAGGCTATATATTGCCTAAGGTCCTTCCCATCTCTACACCCTGCATTTCCATGAATCACCATCACTGATATCACTATCAATTACCACCTGACAGACACATGGTCAATCATGTCATATGAATTGGAGACTCAGAGCCGGTGAAGGAAGGATGAAAAATCCTGGTACCATCTAACAGTGTCTAGAAACATCAATTAAAGCCAAAATAGAATAGCCCCTTAATTGCATGAATATTCAGCCAGTATAGCCCTCCTCTCCTCTGCCTTGTGGTACTCCTGTGGGTCAGAACCGAGAGGATGACCCACATTACTAACTCTCATCCCTCAATTCCAAAGATAGCATTATATTTCAGCCTACAATTTTCAATATTGCCTTTGCTAATAATCACTGAATAGCAGAATCACAGATTCTTAGAGATCTAGGTCTCTCCCAATGATGGAATCCCTTCTAAATGATTCCTAAGAAATGGTCATCCAGATTTTACTCAAATAGTTCAAATGACACAACCAAACTATTGTATTTGGACTGCACTAATTATTAAAGCATCTTCTTTATGTGTCTTCATATCTATATTTCCATCTGTTTCTTTATATCAACACTTCTCTATTATCTACCTATATGCATATGACACGAATGCATTGTTTTCTCTTTAATTTACTCTACATATTGACCTCTAAAGCAAGACAGAACTGTCTTATCTTCCATATGACTGTTCTTTGAAGTCTTGGTGTAGTAATCAATTTGATTTTTTTATGGGAAGAGACAGTTATTGAGATAATGCAAAAATCACTGATATTTAACTCTGAAATGCATTGTTTTGTTTATATTTGGGTATTACTGTCTCTGAGGTTAATGTAATTTGCAAAACCTCAAAAAAAAAAAAGGAAGCCAGACTATGAAGGCCTGTCTTCAGAGGAGCAGAAAAAAAAATATTTGTCTTTTTCACCCCAGGATACAGAACTGGGAGTCAGGAGACATCATCATCATTACCATCATCACTAACATTTAGAAAGAGTATGAAGGTTTGCAGTGTATATATATATATATATATATATATATATAATCTCATTTTATAACATTGATTCTAGCTTGTCTATCACTAATTAGCATCTTGAATACTTTTCTTCTCCATACTTTAGATTTCCAGTGATTAAAAAAGAGGAAATAGCACTAGCTTACTTTAAAAATTCCCTCTAGCTCCAAAATTCTTTGAACCTAGTAATCTCTTTAGCTACTCTCCATCACTTCAGGATGGAAATCATGGACAGACAACATGACCTCTTAGACATGATCTCTATGTTCCCACTCTTCTATGTATTTCTAAGCTCTGGAACCTTCCTTATAACAGGGTTGGTGAAAGGGGCTGTTTCAAAAAGGATGTGAATAGAGAAGATGAGAGTATCAGTATAGGAGTGTAGAGCATAGCAGGTGTTTAGCTGATGAGAGATTTAATATGTTCTGTAGCTGAACTGCAAAGATGACACTGTAATGGAGTTTATGGTTTGTTTGTTTTTTATGACACAGAAGAAATGAGCCTTAGATTTCTATTCTGATTGCTTGAATTGTAAATCTGACTCAGCAAATGAATACCTGCATGACCTTGGGCAAATCACTTCTCTCTAGACTTCAGTTTCTTCTTAAAAATGAAAGAATTGGACTAGTTGACCTCAGAGATCCCTTCAGGCTCTAATACCTATGTTTTATATTCTTAAACTAGGTTAAAATGTTGAAAAGCATGAAGTCTCTATTGATATATCAAATAACTCATAGTAGACCACTGAGGCATCTGGTTTTGAAGTACCACGTTGTCACCTAATCCCTCATAGTTCAATCATATTGACCACATATAATTCTATGTTTAGATCTCATGTCTCCTGATTCAAGTGTTTTCTGTAATGTTTCTCTCTCTGCTTCTCTCTCTTTGTCATTATCTGTTTCCACAAAATAATAGATGAAACAAATATCTACATGCTGTTTGAAGTATACTCAAAATTATTTAGCAAGAAGAAAAAATTGTACTATCTATTTTCAGTGGTTTGGACAGAAATCTAAGATTTCTTGTCCTTATTTGGTCCATGAAAAAAAATCTGTTCATTTCCTTGGATTTGTTTATTTAACCTACGGTGGGGATAGGGATTTTGCTGAATTCATCTATGTATTTTTGTTTGTTTGTTTGTTTGTTTGTTTGTTTGTTTGGAAAAGTGACCTAGGACCAAAAACGTTTCCCATAGTACTATTTGCATAAAAGGGTAAAAAACAATGCAATATTTAATTAGATTAAATATAAGGGTGCTTAGTGTCTGGGTATATGTACGTGCATGTTTTGTGTGCATATGTGTGTGTGTGTGTGCGCGCATATCTATCTATATCTACATGAAATGAGAGAGGAGAGAGAGAGAGAGAGAGAGAGAGAGAGAGAGAGAGAGAGAGAGAATGAGAATAAGAAGAAAGGAGAAAGTTTTTTGTTTGGTCAGATTTATCCCTAGAAGCATTGGAATGTCTGTTGTTAATTCAGTTTGGAGGCAAGAAAATAGAACGTGTTTATTTGAGGACAGATTCATACCTTTATAAAAAGGCATTCTTTTTAGTAAAGGAATTCCATCCATGATGAGAAAAATATTGTTCTTGATTTTTCAGATCTTAGCAGGAACTAACTAGCTATGTCAATTTATCTAAAGGATTAAAATGGAAATCAATCTCCTCCAAAGCATATCTTCTACACTGGCTATAATAGTAACTTAATATTACACAAACATTTTAACATTTGCAAAGTACTTTACACACAGTCATTATCTCCTTTTTTTCTTTATAACAAACCATTGAGATAAGTGCTGCAGAAGTTAATTCCATTTTCCAGGTGAGAAAACTGAGACTAAGAGAAGTAAAATGCCTAGGCACAGGACATCAGATGTTAAAGTTTCTGAAGCAGAATTTGAACCTGTATCTTTCTCATTCTGAATGCAGTGGTCTGTTCATTATACCACGCATGGCAGATGAATAGCTTGCATGCCCTTTATATCTAATCACTTCCTAATGTGATAAAATCAATACTTAATGTTACAAAAATAAAATAAAAAGGTTATGAAATCACACTTATAATGAATTTCTTTTTCTATTTTCAGGTTTTATATGGGGCGAAATTAAACAGATGTGGGATGGTGGACTTCAAGATTACATCCATGACTGGTGGAATCTAATGGACTTTGTAATGAATTCCTTATACTTGGCAACAATCTCTTTGAAAATCGTTGCATTTGTAAAGGTGACTTTTATATTACTCTTGGCTAAAGGAAAGGTTCTGATAATTAGCAGCACTTTTAAAATCTGTTATTGTAAAGATTTTAATTAATGAAAGCACCTAAACTCTTAGTACGTTATCAACATGCTCACAAAAGTTATCTGTAGTGATTTAGAAAGCAATGAACGATTTATTGTCATAAAACTGAATTTTAAAAAGAGAAAAAGATCATTCCCCAATGCCATCACATCTACATCAAATCATGTCTCAAAATTACCTATAAGAAGTGCCTGAATTAGTGTGCTCTTTCAAAGGCTAATGAAATTCCTCCCCTGCTCATAACATATGGCAACCAAAATATCCATTTTTATCCTTGAGAAAATAATAGATAAAACCTCATGAAGAACTCAAAATGTTACACTTATAAAACATTAAGATTATAATTTTAGCCTAAATTAATATAGTTTAATATCATTAAAGGCAAATATAATTTCTTTTTTCCCCTGATCCCACTCAATATGACAGTACTTGAAATCATACACACCCATTACTCCCCCAGGTTTTATACAGCATCAATCTCACACTCAAACTCCACACATTGCATAAAACAGCCTTTGTTCTTCAATGACTAATGAAATTGTTTTGCACTTGATGTAATTCTTCCAACCAAAGTCACAACATCTTGTCTTCTCCTCCTCCTCCTTTCCTTTTCTTTTCCTTTCCATCCATCTTTTAAGAGGCATAGTAGTAAAGTGAGAAAAATTCTGAACTTAGATATTGCAGTTAAAAGACTGTACCTGCAGACCTAGATATGTCTCTTTCAGGACTGTGTGAAATTGGACAAATTGTAGAATTTTGAGCTGGAGGGGACTGAAGAGATTCTCTAGTCCAGAGGTGTCAAATATGCTGCTAGGCGCAACGCTCCCAAGTACAGCTTGAACCAGAACAAATGCAATTGGGAAATAACAAAATGTGTTTAAAAAAAAGCAATAAAAGATAAATAACATTATACTTTAAAAATAAGTCATCACACAGCCAGTATTCATGAGAAGCAGCACTTGAACCCAGGTCTTCTTGGCTGTGGAGCCAGCTCTCTCTCCAAGACACTATACTGCCTCAAAAAAAAAAAAAAGGAAATAACATATTATCTGCTAGGGTTGTGCTGGTAAATGTTTAACAATCAGCTCTGTCTCTCTGACTCTCTGTTTCTATTTCTCTCTTTCTTTCTCTCTCCTTCTTTCCCTCCTATGTATATATGTATATTGTATACATACATATGTATGTACACATACATCTATACACACATGTACAAAACACTTTCAAGTTTAATCTGCATTGTTAAAATTTTCTCCATGAGTTCCTAAAGTCTAGGCAATCAACGAAACAAGAAATCAAGCCCTGATTCATGGTGTTGTTTTTATTTCCAAGGTGCTAATATTTACACTGAAAATTTAACAATCTGTAGTAGCTCCATCATACCTATTATCTACCCTACTAACTTATAGGGTTTTTGTGAGATCAAATTGGTCTGAAAGCAGTTTGTAAATTGTTTAGGTCTATACCAGCATAAAGTGATTTTTCATTCTTTCTTCTGAAATGATTGGAGGCTCAATAGAAGTTAAGAAAATGTTTAATTTGACTTTGCATGAACATTGAATTCAACTTAGCGATCTGAATGAGCAAATGCCTGGCGAACAGGCTGATTGTTACAGATTAGTCAAATTCTTATAATGGATTGCCAAGCATCCTTGCTATTTTCAGGCATAAAGAGGTCATTTATAGGTGACGTCACTATTATACATTATGTGGGCAGTATAGTTATATAGTTGTTGGGTTTTTTTGCTCAACAAGGCAAATCCATTGTTTTTTTAGGATTTATTTCATTTTAAAAATAGTCTAGTATAGTGGGCAGTATAGTTATTTTTTTTTTGCTTAACAAGGCAAATCTATTGTTTTTTTAGGATTTATTTAATTTTAAAAATGGTGCCAAGACTCACTGAATAACTAATAAAATCGATTTCCATGGTTTTCGTGGAAGTCAAGCTATGTTTGAAGAATGGAAACGCTTACAACTTGTGAATTTTCCTACATTTTTTAAGTTATATATTGATGAAGAGCCCATAAATACTACAAGGATAATTACCTCTGTCATACATAATGCATAATAATAGATCATATTTATTTTATAATTTATAGTTTATTAAGTTCCTTGTGAAAATTGTTCCATTTGAACTCCACAACAATCCTATGAGATAGATAAAGTAACTCTTGTTACTACTGTCATCCTACAAAGAAGCAAATTTAGGCTTAGAGAAGTTGTGACTTGCCCAATATTAATCAACAACAACAAATGAATTGAAAAAATTAAAAACCCAGAAACCTATGTTTTCTAACACCAATTCATTCTTTCTAGTATGTGACCCTTCCTCTACATTCATATTCTTCTCTCCCAGGTAATGACTTGTCTTCTAAGTTATATGGAGACACTTTTCTTTTTAACAAATTGCCAACTAAAAAGTAATGTTTTTTTTTTCTGATCTAGAAAGTTGACCTAGTCCTTAAAATTCAATAAAATATTTTATAACCATTTTTGGTATTATAAAATTGTCTAGAAGAAATTTGTACACTGTAGAATCTCATAAGAACTCCTTCCATGTTTGAGGTTCAGCCATCCATTAAAAAAATGTTAAATACCTTGGCAAACAAACTTGGTGTAGAAGTATGTACAAAGATATTTCTCACTCAGAGAAGGCTTTCTGAAGGACATATCATTTGATTTGAACTTAATATAATGGATAAGATAAAATAGAGAAAGAAAGGAAGGAAGGAAGGAAGGAAGGAAGGAAGGAAGGAAGGAAGGAAGGAAGGAAGGAAGGAAGGAAGGAAGGAAGGAAGGAAGGAAGGAAGGAAGGAGGGAGGGAGTTAAAATAGACAATCCTAGAAATCTAGGTAAAACCAAAGTTCTCAATTATTTAGTGAATTGTGGTATCATTGAAAGAAATAGGGTGACATAGTAGAATATGGAACTCTTGTTTGGAGCCAGCTTGGTCATTTATTACCTGTGGCACCTTGGGTAAGTCATTTTATCCTCATGGGCCTTAAGTTTCCTCATCTGTAAAATGAGAAGATCGAACCAGGTCACCTTAGATATCCCTTTCATTTTTAGTCCTATTATCCTCAGAAAGAGTTAGTTTAGGAGCAAACATTCAATTTTAGGTGCTTCCAGGATATCCATTAGGCATTTGAAAATGTGGATCAGAAGGTTATAAGAGAGATTGGAGCTGGAGATTTGTATTGGTCAGTAAAATTATCTCAAACATTATAGCTGAAGCCATGATAACGGTTAAGGCTGTTGGGGTAAGGGTTTCCTGATAGAAGAGGAGAGGAGAGGAGAGGAGAGGAGAGGAGAGGAGAGGAGAGGAGAGGAGAGGGGAGGAGAGGGAGGGGAGGGGAGGGGAGAGGAGGGGAGGGGAGAGGAGAGCCAGTGAAGAAGACAATGAAGTTGTAATTGGAGAGAGAGAGGGATCTTGAAAGGGTAGGAGCAGAGGAGGGTTTATCAAGGACATGTAGGTGGCCAATAGTGTCAAATGTTATAGACAGCTCAAAGGAGAATGAGGGTTACATTTTAGAAGGCAGTTTCCATTCAATAGGGCAATGGATTCAAGAATGAGGGGGTCATAAGAAAATGGAAATATTAGGGCACAGACTAAAATTTCAAGAAATTTTCTAGTGACTAGAAAGTGAGCTGTTAGGAGGAAAGGTTCATATATACATAATATATACATATATACATAAATACAGAAGAAGACAACTCATATCTATAATTCACTGAAAAATGTATCTTTCATGAAAACAATAATGCCTTACAAAAACGTGTTTTCTCTGTAGCTGACATATATGAAAATTCCTTTTATATGTTGTATTTCTATCTAGCACCTATTAGGAAGTCTATTCAATCCTTTCAATACTAAATATTTAATATATCCACCTTTTGTTTTATTACACTCAAGGACTTTTTTCCCCCTTGACTTCACCCTCATCTCCTATCTCCTCTCATCTCCCCCAACACACACAGAAGGAAATTAAGAAAAGACCTACTATATCCCAGAGATATCATACAAATGGGAAAAGACCCACATGTACAAAAATATTTATAGCAGCTCTTTTTTGTGGTGGCAAAGAATTGCAAATTGAGAAGATGCCCATCAATTGAGGAATGGCTGAACAAGTTGCGGTATATGAATGTAATGGAGTAATATTGTGCTATAAGAAATGATGAACAGGCTGACTTCAGAAAAACCTGTAAAGACTTGTATGGACTGATGCTGAGTGAAGTGGGCAGAACTAGGAGAATGTTGTACACTGTAACAGCCACGTTGTGTGATGACTAACTTTGATAGACTTAGCCCTTCTCCGCAATGCAAGGATCTAAGACATCTCCAAAGACCTCGTGATGGAAAATGCTATCCATATCCAAAGAAAGAACTATGGAGTTTGAATGTAGATCGAAGCATACTATTTGCTATTTTTTTTTCTTCTGTTGTGTTTTGTTTCCTCTTTCTGGTGGTTTCTCCTATTGGTTCTAATTCTTACTTACAACATCACTAATGTGAAAATATGTTTAATCGGAAAGTATATGTATAGCCTACATCAGATTGCACACGGTCTTGGGGAGGGAAGTGGGGAGGGAGGGGGGAAAATTTAAAACTCAAAAGCTTATGGAAGCCATTGTTGATAATTGAAAATAAATTAAGAAAAAAAAGAAAATGCCTATAAATATGAAATTACTCATTATGAATGGTTAACATAGGCAATATGGAATGATGGACAAAGAACTGGCTTCAAACCCAGCAAGATCTGGGTTCAAATCTCTTTGCTGACACATATTGGCTGTGTGACCCTGGGCAAAACAAATATCTTAATCTGTTAGTACTCCAGGCAGCTCTCTAAGACTATGAGCTACAGTCACTGTTCAGTCATGTCTAACTCTTTGTGATCCCATTTAGGGTTTTCTTGGCAAAGAT